ACACACACACACACACACACACACACACACACACAGACACACACAGACAGAGAGGACATGCCCACACAGACAGGCTAGATCACACTTCTCTAAATGGCATAATCTCCCCCTCTTTCTCATGTGCATGCATGGACACACACATACGCGCACACACACACACAAGCACAAACACACACACAATGGGCTGAAGTGTGTTTGCATCACACCTAATGCCTAATATATGTGTGTGAGGTGATGGAGGAGCCTCCTGCTGATAGGAAGATTTTTTTTGTGATGTCCTTTTAACCTCCAACATGCCTGATTTAAAAAAAAAAAGCCAGACACACAGAAAATAACCTCCAGCATATGTACAAACAGGAATTACAGAAATAGGAGGAAAGAAAACTATCAGAGACAGCTGGCATGAACATTCATCATAAAAAAAACCTCTTCAATCATAATTAGTCTAATTAATTTAAATCAGTGTTGGATGCCTATCTAAATACAGTGAAAACACAAAATGAACATCCTCCCTGCAGCACATAGCCGCAGCCTATACGTTCCCATAGTGAAACACACCCTCGTAGGATTAGAGCAGAAGAATAGGGGGATTATTATTTCATGACCTTTCAATCCGCTGCCTGTCAGGTTGAACTAAAGCCATATATGCTGCTGGAGGACTAATCTCCTTCTCCCTTTGTGTCCGCAAGGGATGTGTCATTTCTTTATCCCCTCTATCCAGATTTACACCATAAAATAAACTTCCTAGCCTGATCTGATAAGAAGCCATCTCCTTACCGGGATAAGGCTGTGGTGCCTCGCCTCCCTGCTTCCCCCGTAGCCGTATTTTTGGGTGTCAGATAACTCAAGACGGGGATGGGAACAGTCAGGAAATGCCACTTTGTCTGTCTGGGAGCAGGTGACAACAAAACGACAGTGACTCTGATTAGAAAACACCCTCCGTCTCTCCCCCATCACCGCCACTGCTCTTCTTCTCTCTTTTCCCTCTTTCTAAAACCACCACAAATAAAAAAAATCACATATTATCAACACTTGCCAGGTACGTGTGTGAGAGAGAGAGAGAGAGAAAGAGAGAGCGTGAGAGAGAGAGAGAGAGACAAACACAAATAAATTGATATTTGCAGTCAAAGTCGTCGCATCACAGACACACACTTATGTTGCTTTTGTTATCACACCATCTTAATTACTGTTAAGTCATCACTGCTTCAGCTGTCAGTCTGAGCCATGATCTGCTGATCCAACTGCTGCCGTCTGCCCATCCTGTCTCGCTGCCCCCCCCCACCTTCACTGCCAGCGTTATCTTTTTTAATTTTTAAATGGACCTGAGTCATAGTTTAGATGCTTCTTTAAAGCCATCACAGACTGCAAAGCTCCTGCTATTGATGAGATGGGATGTATGAGATTTGATGCACAAATTCAGGGATTTTTAGTACAAGTACAAGCTCCCTTTGCCTAAAGGTCACAGCCTACAGGTGGCAGAAATGAGCATTATGGATTGGCGAGGCAGAGGTTGGCAGCCGCTCTAAAGTACTGTTGTAATGCACCCTAAAGGAAGAAATTTAATTTAGGCTTTATAAATAAATTATTAAATATTTAAGCCAAAACTACCATATGGGTTATTGGTGCAGCAGGAATCAATTCATCAGATGGTATTAAACAATTTGTGATGCAAAAACTTTATTCTCTTTTGAATTACAACTGGGGCTGGGCCAATCAGACTAAACACAGCCACCATTAGCCCACACTCCATGGCCTTCACTATTTAAGGTATTTTTATTTTTTTAAATCTCCTTTAAACAATGGGGGTTGAAGAAAAATAAAAATGCTGGCAGAAGAAAACTAATCATATCATTTTGTGCGACAATCAGCAGCAAGGTCAACTTTTATTTTTAAGATCAGTAAACTGGGTTATAGGCTAATGGAGAGCACTGGCTTGATCACATGAAAGCACTCGTTAAATTCCTTAGATTCTCATTTAGTACAGTTATTAATCTCTAGATGGATAATTCAGTGATATCGTTCATGTTGTCTGCACGATTTGGGTTGTAATATGTGAATATCATATACATTTATATAGCTCATTTAGAAAATAAGGAGTTGAGCCAAAATGCTTAAAAAAGAATCTGGGTATAGTCTGTCCATTTACTTTGTTTCTCCTGTAAGGGACACTGTGGACACTCAAACTGACTCATTTACCCAAAGTAGAAGTGTTTCACGTCATTGAGGCGCTTTATTGTCCCGCAGCTCCGGACCGAATTGTTAATAATAACTAGTAACCTATTCGTGCGCTCCTTTAGGATTTCAGGTGCGCGCTTTTACAGAGTTATTTATTTCATTTCTGCTTCTCTGCAAAAACAGGATCCACACGCGCACGCGCGCACACACGCACTGGCAGTTTTTTCTTCCTTCTCCTTTTCAACACAATTGAACGGCAGGTGCGTCTTTTGGAAAGCAGTGGCTGTGTACGCGCACGTACCGTATCACCAAAAATAAAGCGGACGCGAAGAAATTATATAGACGAATAATAAAACAAAAAAATCCAAAAAGTGACAAAAATGTCTCTTTTAAAAATGTCAGAGTGACGCCGATAGGAATCTGAGGATGCAGGGAGGACTTTGGTGAGAAGTGACTAATTACACCGTGGACCGTCCTGATAGTGGAGAATAATTAGATTCTGCACAAAAGAGCCCAAACCGGCATCTGAATAACAAGAGCAACATTTTCAATAGGAAATTTTAATTTGATTTTGTTGCGAGTTCCCTGCGTGCGTGCACCCGAAAGGGAAAAGTGGGAGAAAGTATTATAAGGACAAAACAAAACAATTAAAGAAAAAAGACAGAGGAAAAGAAAAGAAAAAGAAAAAAGTCCTGTCTGGAAAAATTCATGCCTGATTTGGTAAAAATTAAAAAAAGCTGACACAACGGACTGTAAGACATGCAAGGCACCTTATATATAAATACTCAGAATTAAACAGCAATTATAGACAAACTTATTGACTATAAAAACATGGATCAAGTAAACTAAGCTTATTATGAAAGCATCAATTAGGTTTTGTTCCTTGTGGATTTATACAAAAACGGGTTTGAAATACAATAAAATGTTTATTTTTTATCAATTA